GCCCTTTGCATTAATGAGCGGATTTCAACGTCTCTTTCAATTCGGCCAAAGGGTGTGGACTTCGCCAGGTGAAATGGGCCCAAAAGACCCACCAGTTCAGCTTCGCAACAAGGTCGGAGAGTACAAAGTTCCGACAGCATCAGAGGAAAATACGAGAAAGAGCTTCAGCAGTGGATTGTGAACGGCTGGTTGATTCCATTACCCCAGGAAGACTGGGACCCCAAAGGGTCTGATTCCCTTGATGGCAGTCGTGCAGGAGCAGAAACAGAAGGTGCGTCCGGTACTCGACTACCGCAAATTGAACGGCTTTGTGGATGCTTTTACTGCCGATGCAGAAGTGTGCACACATAAGTTGAGAACATGGCGGCGGCAGGGGGTCAATGTGTCACTTCTGGATCTGCAGAATGCATATCTTCAGATTCACATCGACCAAGCGCTGTGGCCATTTCAAAGCGGTTATTTTCAAAGGACAACGCTTTTGTCTTACAGCGGCTAGGATTTGGGATAAATGTAGCGCCACTCATCATGAAATCCGTTATAGACGCCATCACATATAAAGACCGCATAATTGAAAGTGCCACATCAGCATACGTTGATGATATCTTCATTAATGAAAGTTTGGCCTCTGCATCGCATGTAAGACAACACTTTTCGGATTATGGTTTGGTGTGCAAGGATCCGGTGCGACTGAGAGATAGAGCAAGAGTTCTTGGCTTGCAAGTCTGGGAAGAAAATGGCACCCTCCGATGGAAACGAAGAAGTCAAATTCCGGAAGTCCCTGATGTGTTGACCTGGCGGCGCGTATTTTCATTGTGTGGGAAACTTGTTGGACATTTCCCAGTGTGTGGATGGCTCAGGGTGGCAGTTGCATTCGTCAAGCACCTAGGAACCGCAGCAACCAATGGATGGGATGATAACATCAAAGATCCCTCTCTCTGTCGCATACTAGCGGAGATGTTAAGTAGAGTGCGGGAAATGGATCCCATTGGAGGAGACTGGTGCATAAATGATGACGAGATCACAGTCTGGGTGGATACGAGTTCCATGGCGACAGGAGTGGCGTTGGAACGGAAATGTTATCGAAGATGCGTGCTGGCTGCGTCCGACTAATGATGCCAGGCATATCAATTTGGCTGAACTCGATGCGGCGCTTAAAGGAGTGAATCTAGCTCCCCAGTGGGAGGCGACAACATTGCACTTGGTTACTGATTCGGCGTGTGTGCACTGGTGGATTTCAGACACCTTGACCGGGAAGGCACGGGTGAACACAAGGGTGGCTGGCGAGATGCTGGTTAGGCGACGGATGGGCATTTTACGATCGCTGGTGGAAGAATATGAATTGACCATAGACGAGACACTTGTACAGTCCTGTCAGAACCGTGCAGATCGCCTCACCAGAGTACCGCACAGGTGGCTAGAACTGCTCAAGAGGAGAACTGGCTTTCGAGAGCTGTGCAGTGGTAGGGAGGCGACTGCCACGAGGACCAGGTTGCCAATACCCATCATCAGTGCAGACATCCAGGCGTGAAACGAACTCTGTACCGCCAGGTTAGTCGACCCGCAGGTGTCCAGAGAAAGCGTTAAATCCGTTAGAAGGCCTGCACAACCTGTCAGTCGATCGATCCGACACCCGTTCACTGGGAAAGAGGAGAACTGAGCGTGAAGAGCAACTGGAGCAGACTGGCGATGGACATAACTTCGCTACAATGGTGAGAATTTTTAACGCTTATTGATTGCGGTCCTCCAAGTTTTGGTATGGCGGCCGCTGAAAGAGACAAGACGCGAGCACCGCTATTATTCGACTGTTGAGAATGTTTTCCTGGAGCGAGGCCCACCCATGGAAATACTGACGGACAAAATACTGCATTCACCAGTAAAGAATTTAAAGAATTTGCGGACAATTGGGACGTGCATCTGTGGTTTCGATGTGCCTACCGCCAAGTGGAAACAGCATCGTGGAGCGGAACCACAGAACCATCAAGACCATCGCAGCCAGGAAGGGCTGTACAGTATCGAGGCGGTTTACTGGTATAATGTCGCCCTGAAAGATAACGTTTTCACCATCCACAGCGCCGGCTGATGCACTGCACAAATATCATGTCGTGTGAAAGGCATCAAGCCAACCCGCTGCCTGAACTAGAAGTGACTGGAGGAGATTGAAAAAAGGAGACATTGTTTGGGTCAAAAACCCACGCGGCAAGTGTCACGACAAAATACGGCACTGGACGTGTTACAGAGGTGATCAGCCTGCAATCTGTGAGAGTTGATGGGGTGCCTCGTCACATTAAAGACTTGCGACCGGTGATGCAATCACTACCGTTACTGAGCGATGAAAGCAATTCTGAGTCTGAGAGTAGTGGCGTTTGATCTGCTTTTGAGTTAGACCTGCAGGGCAGTGATTCTGTTAACAGCAGCTCCCGGGATGGACACAGTGTTTACCGACACTCAAACCACAGACGAGAACACGCATGAGGATGAAGCTTGTGTTGTCCCCCTTTGGAGGGGGACTCGATGGCAACAATCGCCACCTCCTTGCCCTGTTTGTGATCATGAGATCGGGGGGGGGGGGATTGTGAAAATGGCTTACCTCGGAAACGCATGCGAATCCGTGCAGTGTGCAAACTCCGGTTCTCCCAACGGTAAAAGGAACCAAAATGGCGGCGCCCATATTTTATGCCGGGCGGTCTCGGTTAGTTAACGCGAAATCTCGTTGTCTCGTCATTCGCATGCAAATCATGGTCGGTCCTCGGCTGTATAAAGCAGGCTCGTTTTGCTGTTTCGGATCAGAGAGCTTTCGGCTCGTGAGAAGGTTGGACGTGCGACACTGGGGGGTTTTGGTCACCCCCTCCTCACGGTTTTCTTTGTTCCTACCTCCTATCATCAGTTGAGTTGTTGCGTTACCTCCCACACTTATTTAGTTTATTGTATCTACTTTTAATGGTATTCATATATTTCTTCAAATTCAGAAGTCCATCATATTGCAATTTTGGTGCTCCATTTGCCCACTTCAATTTCTTTAATTTCACTCAAAGGTTATATATCACTGGAAGGTTGTTGCTCTCACATTCAGCACTTGGATGAGTTTTACAGTGTAAAACTGAATTCCTGAAACTTTTATTGACTGTATATAGTTGATTTGGTTCTTTGTTTCTCCTCCTAGGTTTATTTATGTCCATATACATCTTAGGTGTCCTTGAAACCAGGTGTTTGCTATCACCTGATCCTTTGCCATGCACCACTGGACCCATTTTTCTTTGCCTTTATTACAAATTCCTAGTCTGAATTTGCCAAATATTTCGCCATCTCTCTCCTTTCCTACTTTGGCATCCAGGTCTCCCATAACAATTATAATTTCCTGCAATTTGGATTGAGCCTTACTGTTGTCTAGTGTACAGTAAAACTTTCCAATTTCTTCTTCTCTACTTCATGCTCTCGGTGCATATACAGCTATGATGAATATGTTAAAAGGTTTCCCTTTCAGTTTAACTGCAAGAATTCTATCAGCTGATAGTATCTCAGAACACATTTCTTTGTGTCTTGGTCTACTCTCCTCTCATTTTTCTCTCTGCCAAAATATCCTGATTTTTTTACTGCTTGTTTTAGTTATGTAGATACTATATGCAATTTGGTATTATTACATTTTTTTCAGTCATACATATTGTTGCTCAGAAAACCATCTTAGTTCTTAATGTATTGCACCGCAGTTTTATTATTTCTGCCCTGAAAATTGAGTTGAAAGGCCTTCTCTAAAATTTGTATTAAGATTTTCCATTTAGGAGTAGTAAATATAGCTTACACTTAATAATATAACCTAAAAAGGTGGAAATTAATACAGAATTTTAAGATTTAAAACTTTATATTAATTAAAATTTTTGAAAAATGCAAACAATTCTTGTAAAAATTCCTTATCCTTCCATAAAACATTTTTTATTAATAAAATATTTTTATTTCATTTTTTTATTTTACAATTGGACAGATTTTTTTGTTAAATGGTGTTTCTGTTTGAGAAAAAAGAAATTGATGATTTAAATTCTCCAAGGACTCCTGCTTTTAACTAATATAAATATGAAGAGGGCATAATTTTAATTTTTGAAATTTCATAAATTTAAAAAAATATGTAAATAAATATTTTCACCAAGATTTTCTTAAAAAAAAAAATAATAAATAAATAATTTAAAATAATTTCATTTATTTGTGAATAAATTCTGAAAATTTCATTAAAATTTGACAATTATTTGATTTTTGCAATAATTTTCAAAACAATGTGTCTTTTACTTCAAAAACAAGGTGCTAAAATTCCCATAGAAATCTTTCACCTATAGCTGATACAAGAAAAACGAGATTTTTAACCAAAATTTCAAATATGTTAGAAAGGATTAAAAAAATTTAATAAAATAATATAAAAAAAAACTTTGATCTTTCCTCTTAATAATAACAAACATTTTGACGATAAAACTTTGTTTTCATAAATTTGGTGGCCTTTTACATCATGCTATACCCTTCTTTTAGCAAAAAGTGGAATTACCTAATTTTCTAATAAACTTATCTTTTAGTTCACCTGTAAAATTTTAATGTTTAAATATCTGTTGTAATTAGATGCACAAAATTTCTTTCATTCACTTTACTTAACATAAAGAAACATTTAGTTGCATAATTAAAGATAAATTCAGGTGGATTCAAGAGATAAATTAAAGGCCATTAAATTTTAATTCCTGCAAACATTGAAAATAGAATAACTCTGCTTCCTTACATCTTGAAGTACTTGTATATAAACTGATTTTAAATAAAATATTCATTTAACGTTACATTGTTGTGATGTGCATAGAAACATTACGTTGTAGTGATGTGGATAGAGATGTTAAAATTCTGACTTTAACTTTCTTTTTAATGTAAACATTTCAAGAAAAGTATATAAATTAAAATTTGATGTTGTTACTTGTCCATTAAAATATCCATATTTTCAATTTAAAAAAATATCTCATTTCATATTTTTTTTGTAGCATATCACCACATGCAAGATGGACCAGAGTCAGAAACAACGGAAGAAGTTGAGCCAACAAATCAGCGCATTGTTTATATCAATACTCCCCAACCGGTGAAATACTGCTCTAACAAAATCAGGTATTCATTTGTCTGATAGATATTACTAATCAATATTATTTTGTATATGAAAGTTGTAATTATTGTTTCATGTATCAGATTTAACTTAATTTCAGCTTCCTCAATGCACTTTCCAGTTATTGTTGCACTCTGTTTTTGTGCCATGTCCCCTAAAGCTTCCTGTCCTTTGTAGCACTCATCAACACTTGACCCCCTTATCATCCCTCCCAGCTCCTGCTCTGCTGTCCATTTACATAAATTTGTTAGGTAGGTTATTTGCCATTTCACTCTGTCCCTCAATATGACCTGTTAGTGTTAAAGTATCCAAGCTCATTTTCTTTGTGTTCCAGAAATTTCAACTCCCTTTCTGATTGCAATTATAAATGTTTTTATTCATTTTCCTTAAAACTTCTTCATTGTTCACATGTTCGGTCCATTGTATTCTTAGCATCCATCTGGAAAAACCACATCTCTGTTGCTTAAAGTTTCTTTTTTATCTGTGAGGAAATTTTCTAACTTTCACTGCCATATACGTAAAAAATATTAAATAGCTATTCAGTACTCATTCCTTTGTTTATAATGAAATTTTCCTATCTCTGTTTATCCTTTGGAAGACATCCTTTGCTATTTCAGTGTACTTTTGAATTTTTGCATCACATTTTTTGTTATGACACTACACAATTAAACTTTTATAATTACTTGATTTTGAAGTCTACTACATAGCTCTCACCTTGGATTGTTCCTCTTGCTAACAACCATACATTTTTTTCTTTTACAGTTAGTAGTTAGCCTCTTTTTAATCATTTTCCTCTACTACGTTTTCTAAGAGACAAATATTAGCTACACATAAAAAATATAGACACATAGTACATATTTTGTATAGAAATACAAAGCAATATAGTTGCATCCTGAGAGAAAAATCAAAGCTACATTAAATCTGTATTAATGACATGAAATTAAATAAATTTTTTATAGATTAAAAAATGTGGGCTTTTGATTACATTAACTGATTAAGAGATAATTTATTTGGTGATAAAGCAATTATTACTTGAAGATACTTTCTTAGAATTCAAGATGATAAGTAAGGGTCATTTCATATTTGAGAGTAGTATTGCTTTGCAGATTTAAAAAAGCAGAAAAGTTAGGTCAAATAATTACTTTTATGCATTGAGGTTAAGAGAAATCCTTAAATACATTAATATTAAACATATGAAAAGAATAGAATTGTGGCAATGAATAATTTGCTATAAACAGTAATTTAATGTTTAGAAGATAATTATTGTTTTCTGATAAAGTATATTCATTATTACAATTTTTCATTTATTTATTTTTTATACTTTCTACAACTTATCACATGTGCATGTTTTTATTGGTTTTTAAAAATCAGTTTGTTTTTTTTTTCTTTTATCTTTTCATTAAAAATAATGTAAACCTTAATACTGGATACAATATACAACTGTGGAAGATTATCTGCTAAAATATTAAAAACAAAGATGAGAGTAACTTGAAAATATATAAAATAATGATCACTTATTTGTATATATTCTCAGATCCAGTCACTTTCCGTAATGTTGCAGTGACCAAATATTACCTGTTTTTGCAAATAAGAATTTTATAACCATGAAAATGGTATGACAGACTACAGTATTTTTCTTTCTTTTTAATTTCTCCCAAGTCTGGTGATGCTAGGTCAGAGGGAACAAAGGAATAGTAAAGAACATTCAAGTCATACTTTTATTGTAAATATTGGGAGACTCAACATGTTACATAGTACTTAGACGTTGAGAAATTCTTTTTAATCTGAGAATGATAGTATCACTTTACAGTCAATAGAATAATATCCTTAGTCTTTTCAGTTCCAGGCTCAAAGTAGTCTGCTGATCTTTCATTCATAGTTGTAAACTGTTCCAAAAGATTGGATGATTCAACTTTAGAATTATGCAGATTACTGCAGGATATCGTGAATTGGAATTTGTTAATTTGATTGCAGTTTACTGCTGTGCTTCACTTTACTAAAGAATTTTTCAAGAGCAGTTCAGTTGTCAAAATATTTTTACTTCAGTAACTGTCAAAGAGTAATAGGCATTTAACAAGGATCTGTGTCACAACTGACCAGTGTTTCCTGTGTTGCACTTTTGTGTTGTTCTGGCTAAAGATCATTTTTCAGATTCTCTTATTTCTGTACTTGAAATCAGTTGCTCTCTTTGCAGTAACATAACTACAAGAATGATTCCACAATAGAAATATTATACTTTGAAGAACTTCAGACTTTATTCTTTCATCTACAGTATGGTAACCAATATTGATTTTATTTTTTCTTTTCACTTATAATCTGATGAAAGAAACAATTTGTCTAATATGTTTAAATTTTTGTATTTATGAATTCTTACTACTGTATTCATATTTTTGAACATTTCAATCAACTGTCATAGACACTTTGTGTAGAGGACTATTTTTCTTTCATGAGCCCTTTCCTTTTTCTTTTTTTCCATTTAAGACCACTCTTTTTTATGTTGTTTTTCATATTTATTTTATATATAGCTTTTAACTATTATTACTGTCATGTTATGATTACTAAACTTTTTCATAGTCTTCTTTAGCAAGTATTTTTATATCCTCTGTTAGGCTATTTTCTGATAAAAGCCATTACTAATTTCTAAAATTGATGAATTACTAGGTGGAGGTTAAGCACTTGTTATTTATAAAAGACAATATCATTATATCATAAAAGCTATACTATTTTTATATAATTTCTCCATATCTTTAAATATTGTTTTTTTTTTTAATAGCTAAGTAAAATAAGAGAATCTGTAAAAAAAACAAACTTTTATTGTACAGATTCGATAAAAATGAAGGATCCTAATAGTGTTAATAAATTATATACACCTAATTAAAATATGTGAAAGTATTTCAAATTGATAAGCAAATAAAGTCTAATGAATATTCTTAATATTTTGATGTTGTTTGCATCATTCTCAAAATAGTACAACTAGAAGTGTGTTCCTTATTTATAAGTGAAACAAATGAATAACAAAATGAAGGAAGAATTAAGGAAAAGCAAATATGAAGTAAAAATATTCTTGACAAACTTTATTGTATTTAAGGTGGCTTTTTAAATATTCTAATTTGCTGGGACTTATGTCGTATTGCATTAACTTTTGAGGATACATGTTAAATAAGGATAAATTTTTGGAAGTATTAGCCAAATCAAGTTGACTTTCAGATATTGATTAGGTAGAATCTTTTTCAGGATTCCTTTATGTGTGAAAGAGAATAATTCAATTTTGATTATTTTTATCACTTGATTGCTAAATTCATATTTGGAATTAGAATTAACGAAAATTTATCTAAACTGTTAATTGTTTTTTTGTTACTGTAATATTAGTTTTTTTTATGCAAACTCTTAGTTATATTGTGAAAGCTTTTAGTTCCAAATTCCATTTTACTCCCACTCTTCATACATATTTTAGGTTGAAAATTAATTAGAATGCATAGACAATATTTGATTGTAGCTTTTATCTACATTCATGTTAGCAATCTCAATCTGTAATTTTCTAAATCTTTTTAGGCTTTCACTGCATCAGTGATTATAATTTAAAATAAAAGCAAAACAAAAACCAAAGACTTGAAACTATTTTTGTCTGTATGTTTTTATTGTTATAAAAATGTCATATTTAAGATGATAAATTTTATGAATAAAATATTTTGTTCTAGATTAAATTTCCTTTCTCTACATAAATGTAGTTGTAAAAAGATATGGTGAATAATATAAGCAGAAGTATAGTATATTTATGCTTGTTTTGGTGAGGTGGAAGTAAATATATGGGAAATGAATATCCTGTATGGAAAACCTTACACCTGAATTTTTACACATGTTTATCACCTATCATTAGAACAGTATGTTAGGAAATCAGATTGCTAGGTTTACTTCCCGTCCAAATATTTGTAAATATTTTGTTCTACTTTTGTATCAATATAGGTACACTTTATCCATCATGTATATATCCAGCTTTCTTTGCTTATCATATGAGGAGGTGCTGTTAAAGTTCTTGGCCTGACACACTTCCCCAAATCAATATTCTAATGTTTGATCATTGAAATACAAAATTTTAGGAAGTGTGTTGGATCAAGAACATTTCAGCATCCTCATATAAAAGAAAAAAGTGGTGCCTTGTCTTAATTTTTATTATAATTAACTTTTAATAAGCTGAACAAGGACAAAACTGTTATTTTTCTTTCACAGTATAAAGTAATGATTGTTTTATAACACAAAAGTGATAACTCTGTTGTGATAATTTTAGTAGTCTAGTTTCTTGGCACAAATGTAAAGCTGTATTTATTTTTTTTGTGAATTTTATTTTCCTCTTGCCTGTTATTCATTCATATTTGTGTTGTTGGTAACAGGATTCACATACAAATTCTTTTTTTTTTTTTTTTTTTTTTTTTTTCAGCACTGCCAAATACAATATTGCCTCTTTCCTTCCAAAATTTTTATTTGAACAGTTTGGGAGATATGCAAACATATTTTTTCTCTTCATTGCATTACTTCAGGTAGGTATCTTATTTCTAATATTTGTGAAGAATATTCAAAATTAAAATATCAAGTTAATGTACTGATTATATTATAAAGAAGTACACCAGTAATATACTTGAATTTAATTTTCTTTTAATTTATGAATGTCTAGCATTTATGTAAATTTAAATTTTACTCACCACTTGCTCATAGTTTTGAATTTGTGGAGAATATTTTCTATATATTCTATATACATTCAGTATTTCTGTCTGAATGTATCAATAGGTCAATTAGCCACTTCATTTTCCATAAACATTTATAGACATTACATTAAAAGCTAGCTAATTTTCTTCATGTGCAAGTTGTCGGCATTAAATGAACCGTTGTGGTTGATATGCCATAAAACAAAACAAACTAGATGGACATAGAACAACTGTAACTTTTCACGGGAGAAAAATGCTCTACTCTGGACACAAAGAAAAGAATGCATTCCTTACTGAACAAGTTGCATTGATGCTTCCAGTGGAGACAGATGGAGCATTTACCAACTGGAAAAGTCAGCTCCTGAATTATCATGGCCAAAGCATCAGTGTTAACATGGTGCTGTGCTATTCCTCAACAAATGATGCAGAAGAGGCAATGAAGGAGGATTTTTGTAACAAACTCCAGAATATGCTAGACAAACAAAGACTGAAAAAAATCTGTTTCCTAATGTGAAATGTAAACATAAGGTTAGGCACTGACCACAATGGATATGAACATGTGATGAGCAGACATGTATGAGAATCAATAAGTGAAAATGGGGGAATTGTTTGCAGACTTTTACATGCTAAACATGGTAGTTGGTGACATCCTTTTCTCATGCAGAGATATACACAAAGCTTTCTGGTGATCCTGAGACAACATCACAGAAAATCATATTGACCCTGTGTATATTTGTCAGAGGTTCAGGATTGCTGCAGGATTTGAGAATGTAGAGATGCAAATGCATCATCAAATTACTATCTAGTGATGTGTGACACAGGTAAACCCCAGAACACACAACAATGTGAACCATTTGAAGGATACTGCTGACAGGTATCAGCTCAGCCTCACCAAAAAAAAATAAGATCTTACAACATCTGTAAGATGATAGATGATGAACTAGAGACAAAATGACGCATGACTGCAAAGATGTTGGTAGGAAGCTCCTGCAGCACAATGCATGGATTACATCTACTGTCCTGATGAAAGTACAAATTAGACAGAGAAGGCTGTTCTGAATGATGCAACAGGAGCAAAAGCATTAAACCCACTTAGAAGTAAAGAGGAGCATAACAACAAATGAGAAAGGCTACATTGACAATTTGGCAAGGTAAGCAGAAAAAGTTGTACCATAGAGGAACATCAAAAAACCCAAGCTGTATCACCAAGAAGATTGCTGGAAGATATCAGCAAACAGGTAAACCAGTCAAGGGCAAGCACAGAAAACCTCTCATCACAATACAGGAACAACTTAACAAATGAACCAAGCACTCTTCTGAATTGTTGAAAACAGTCAATGTTTGAAAAGACTACACCCATCTGCCAGACATAATTCCTGCAGAAACATTACAGCCAATTAATTGTGATAAACCCAACAAACTGCAGATAAGGGAATCAGCAGTATGCATCCAGCTCAGACAGCAAAGGCTGTGAAGCAGATTTGGACACTAATGTGAAAATCCTTTGCAGCATCTTCAAGATTTGTACAGTTGAGCATTAGAGCCATTATCAAATCTCTTTGACACTAGTATTAGGATATAACAGGGATACTTACTGTTATCATTTCTCTTCATCTTGGTGACTGGCTGGATCATAAAAACCTCCGTGGAAGGAACACCATATAGAGGATACTGTAGACACAATTTGATGATATCTACTTCACAGTCTGAATAGAATATAAAGCAAAATTTCTAGCCTCAACATCAATAACGACAGGTCTTACCATCAACAAAGATAAGACTTATGAGGATGAAGCACAATAGCAACAGCTCCATCCCAGTAGCAGGACAGCCCCTAGAAGAGGTGTAAAATTTTTTACCTACTTGAGAAATGTGGTTGACATACAGGGAGGAGCAAATGAAAATTTGAGGACAAGAATAGACCAAGTTTATTATCTATATGTATATCTATTAAAAATAGATCTAATAAATTAAAATTAACATAAATTCATGATTCACCTTCAGTCATTATGACTTGACTTAATAATCTCAGTAATATGCACAGAATTTTTCCTTTACTAATATTTTAATTTCTTTAGATATCCATCAACTGAAATATTTTTTAATAAATCCTTCTATTAAGCAATAATTTTTCTACATTTTTACAAACTTTGTATTGATTAGTCATTGAGTTGATATTTAAAAATACCTGACAGACAATAAAATCCATAGTTGACTTAAGTGAAAGTTATTTTCATTATTCTTTGTGCTCAAATATTGATACTTGAGTTTTGCTTACTTCAATTACCATTAAAAAGATTCTATATTGTCAAATGTATTACTTGGAATTTAATTTATTTTTTAAAAATCTCATTTGACAATATCATGAACATTCTGATAATAATCATGACTTTCCACATATTTCTTTTCTTTATTATATGTGAATTATAACTTTTTAGAAAGTGAAATGGCTTCTAATTGCCTTCTCCAAAGTTTTAAATTCAGAGTTGGTAGTTCTCTTACACTGGCTTTCACCTAAAGCTAGAGTACCTAGCCTACTCTGCTATATAACCCATAGCTGGGGGAAGAAGATAAAAATTCATGCCTCTTCCTAAGCACAGTGGGCTTACAAGCAGATATTTGGCATTTTTGTAACATTTCCCAAGTAGTATTTGCCATATCTAGTCGGAATGTAGACAGTCTCGGGATTTAAGACCTGGTTTAACTTTGTTCTAACTCCTAAGTATTTAAGTTATGATCGTTTGAAGTTAATGAAAACTTGCATGTGTTTAATCACTCTTTTTAGATTATCAGTTTTGGATAGTTGTTATTTTCCCCCCTTCTTTTTGCCATGAAAATCATTGGAATTTTGTTGAAATGAATATTAGAAAGTTTAACTTGAGACTTTTTTTTTTTTCAAAAAATGACCTATATCAAGTGGTTTTTGCCCCTACAACATAAAATTCAGTGAAAATTAATAACTTTGAATAATGCTAACAAAAAATACCCAAGATAATTTTTCTTTCTTTTTAGCATAAGTTCTGAAATATGAAAACAATTCTGCAAAATGTAAAAAAAAAATTCTTTTTAGGAAAATATTTAAAATTTGTTCAGTTCCTTTCATATATTACATTGATCATTGCCCATTTTTGGCACTCTATATGTAAGCACCAGATGTCAATGTTCGACGTAACTTTCCTTGTATTGATCTGAAAAACCTGATCTAGACCTCTGTGCAAAAAATGAATGCCCCAAATCAAGTTGAAATGTGAATTGAACTGGGTGATTCTACCTGCTGAAATTATTGTTGATTTAGACTTTGAATTATACACTTTAATGGAAAATCGTATGGGTTTTCCTAATGGAAAAATTACTATTTTCAAGGAGATTATGAACTGGCTGAGGTCGATCATATTTTCTCTCACATTTATGCTAAAAATGCTAATTTTTCCTCATTTCATTAATCTGTAGCTATTTTGTTAGCATATTGAATATAACAAGATTTATCTGGATCATTGATTTGTTACTACTATGATTGCTTGTAGTTTATACTTTCTGATTGGTAGCAATGTCTTGGTAACAGTTGGCTGTTTTTCTCCATGCCAACCAAATGGACAATGTTTATTGCTTTAAATACAATCTTACTTTTCACTCTTCTTCACTTCTAATACTGGCATCTGATAGCTCAGTCTGTTAGTTATCAGGTTGATTGTACTATTCATGTCCAAATATAAGTTATAGCCACTAATGTTAACTACTTTGATATTGACATACTGGTGATTTTAACAAACCAAGAAGTTCAAAACTGTTGAAAATTACCTGAATTTGGTATTTGGTCAAACTCTAAAATGAAACCACATTGATATTTTTTCTTTATTGATACATAAACTGTAATGAAAATGAAGACCTAATTGTCTAATAAAATATATCTAGAATCATCTAATGTAATATAACTATGTCAAAGATAGCTTAGGACATTCATTATGCTTTATTAAAATATAAAGTGTAACATCTTTGAAGAAATCTGTTATTAATCCTTATTGTCTTATGACAATTCAATTCCAGTGGCACATTATATTTAATGATAATCTCATATCTTGTAAACCATGCTTCCTTTTTGTTTTAAATAAAAATATTTCAATTTGATGCTGAACTTATCAAATGTGTTAATGTACTGTCTACACTATATTTCTCATTTAGATGCTGCTTTTTTTTATGTTAGTTTTCAAAATGTTCTTAACTGAGTTTTTATTTTCTTTAAAATATTTTGTCATTTAAATTTAACTGAAAATATTTATTTTCTCAAAATTAAAAAAAAAACTTGTGATAGAAACATTTGATGCATTAACTTTTTAAAAAAAAAATGTAAATAAAATTCCAAAATTTCTAAGCAGAATAGTGTAAGTGCAGCTATACAGATATTGGGTATTGATGGATTACCAATGTGCTAAAACAGACACTTGCATTGTCAATAGCTGTAACTGACATGGTAAGCTTAAAATAAATGCTGATAGATGCTTGAACTTTAGAAGATACACATTTGGTTACATGATTTATTTTTTTTTTTGTATTTTTTCATTTTCCTTTTATTTTTGTTTTCATTTTTTTTTGTAAAGCTGTTACAAGTGTAAAATAAGTATTCTGTAGTGTATATCATGCCTAAAATGATTTACAAATATCAAATATTATTTCTTGTTTATAGTTTTAATTTCTTACATACACACAATCCCTTGTAATAGTCTTGTTCTTTATTTACACTTATAACACTACTATATCCGAAGTTACAGCAACCAGTTTATCATAGTACTTCATTTTGCTGGCTAGTGGAGTGTTATTCTTCTCTGGCACAGCACCAA